CTCCCGCGCCAGGCTGCAATGCTCCTCCAAGTGCAGGTACTCGCCGTGCACGGGCACGACCATCTGCGGGCGAAGCCGCGACAGCAGCATGCGGATATCACCCCGATATGCGTGGCCAGAGGCGTGTGTCGGCACCCCGTCCTCGCCATCACGGATGATGCGCACACCGCGGCGCTTGAGCTGGTTCACCACGCGCTGCACGTCCAACTCGTTGCCGGGGATGACGCGCGACGAGAAGATGACGACGTCGTCTGGGCCAAGGTGCACAATTGGGTGGTCGCCAGACGCCATGCGTGACAGCGCAGCAGCGGGCTCGCCCTGGCACCCCGTGGCAAGCATCAGGCACTGCGCGGGCGCGTGCTTGGTCACCACCTCGTGGAGGCCGCGGGTGGAGGGGAGTGTGGGCAGGTAGCCGCAGTCGTGCGCAATGCCGCTGGTGGTGAGCATGGCGTGGCCCATGAGCGCTGGCCGACGATTCATCTGCGGCGCGCAGTCGAGCGCAATACCGACGCGGGAGACGCTGGACGAGAAGCAGGTGAGCACGCACTGCCGGTCAGGCTCCACCTTCAGCAGGCGCTCGCGCAGGCCGCGCTGCACCTCGGACTCGGGCACCGACTCGCCCTCCACGACGGCGTTGGTCGAGTCGCCGACAACGGCAAGCACGCCTTCCTCGCCGAGCTTGTTCATGGCTGCGTAGTCGAATGGCGGGCCCAGCAAGGGTGCAGAGTCGTGCTTCCAGTCGCCCGTGTGCACGATGTGCCCTTGCTCCGTGTGCAGGATGACGGCGTGCGACTCCGGGATGGAGTGCGTCATGTGCTGCAGGGTGAAGCTGAAGGGCTTTGTGGTCACCTTTGTCTTCTGGTCGATGATGTGCAGGGGAGGGATCCTGACGTTTGGCGGGAGGCGGGCGCGGATCATCTCCGCCGTGAACTTTGTGCAGTAGAGCGGGCACTTGAGGTCTGGCCAGAGCGTGGCCACGGCGCCAATGTGGTCCTCGTGGGCGTGGGTGATGACCAGGGCGACGAGCTTGTGCTTGTTGCGCATGACGTAGTCGAGGTCTGGCATGATGGCCGTGGAGCCGTTGCCGATGTTGGTGAGGTTCACGCCGAGATCGACCATGAGGAAGCGGTTCTTGTGCACGTACAGGTTGCAGTTCATGCCAATCTCCTCTGCGCCGCCCATGGGGATCAGGAAGTGGTCCTTGTCGTTGTCCTTGAACAGCTGCTCCAGCTGCTTGAAGCTGTTCTCCTGCTGCGCGCTGGCCGACTTCTTCACCTCCATGATGCCCTCCAGCAACGACGTCAGGCTCCCCGTACCACCGGCCTCCTTCTCACCGTCCTTGCTGTTGCTGCTGGCGTTGCTGCCCGCGTTCCAGCGTGCAGTGCTGGTTGACAACGGCATTGTCGATCGCCGCAGCATCGCCGTGGCTCTTGCCAGGTGGCGTCGCTGGTGTTGCTGGTGTTGCTGGTGTTGCTGCTGCTGTATTTGTGGGTGTCGTCGTGCGATCTGACTCAAAAAGCGACCCGTGCCGCGAATGGTTGTTGCTGTTGCGGCGGCAGCAGCGGTGGTGGTGGCGGTGGTGGTGGTGGTGCACCGCCTTGCCATCATACTGGCACATAGCCGACAGCTTGAGGTCGCCACCATGGTGGTGTTTTGTGGTGTGGGTATTGTTGTATCGTGGGTGTTCTGGCTGGCGCGGCTGCACACACGTGTGTTGCGCACGACAGCAAAAAAAAAAAACCACGGCCACGCAGGACTTTGTTGGACAAGAGAGGGACAACAACAGAGAGGTTCTGTGTCGCAAGCACTCCACAGAAGCACAGAGATGAGGATGATGATGATGAGAGGAAGAGGAAGCAAGCGAGAGAGACATAATATGTGACATAACAATGTGGAATATAATCCAGGTAACCCATGGGCAATGACGTGAGGCATTCAGGCTCAACGACAAGCATATTGCAAGAGTCAGCCGTAGAGGACCGATGGGTGTGTTTCGATGATGAGGTTGCCCGTGGTTTTGTCGATGCGCATGCGCAGGGTCTCGTGTTCGTATTCAAACTGCGCAAAGACGGCCTTCATCTCCTTGCGGCGCTCAATCGCCCGAGACTTTTTGCGCATCATAAACGGGATCATGGGAAGAAGCCCCACACTCGCACCTGGCATCATTGGGACGTGTGTGTGAGTGTGATTGTGTGTGATTGTGTGTGTGTGCGTGTGGGAGAGACAGAGGAAGAGAGAGAGAGAGACAGAGACAGAGAGAGGGGGGAGAAGAGGCGTTAACTTGCTTGCTTGTTGAGGGTGGATGCGCACGACCGAATGCAGCACACAGCAAAGAAAGTGGATTGCAAACAAGAGCTGGCAGCTAAACTCCAAACCACACAACGTACGACGCAGCGAATCACACAACGTTCAAACAACACCACTCCCGCCCTCCACACGGCCGCACAAGACACAACCACAGGCAGACGAGCAGTTCGTGACAGTAGCGCACCGAGGAGAG